GGCGCCCCAGCCTGGGCCCACGGCTGCAGTGGGATACTCACCCCCCTCCCTCTCCCAGGGATGGGGCTGCCCACTGAGCTCCGGCGTGGAGGAGCACCACAGGCCAGGCTCTCTGCCCCACCCAGGCAATGACTTTCGGCTGGTCTCAGCCCACCCAGGGCACACTGACAGAGCAGTGAACTGCTCAGGGGCCAGTGCCAGACAGACTACAGGCCCCAGGGAGGGGGGGACACATCCTGCCGGGGCCAGGCCCCCTCTGTCAGCGTCCAGGACCAAGCTGGTAAAGAGCAGTGGACTCGAAGCACTGACCCAGCGCTGTCGGCAGAGCCTGAGCAGCCTCTTCCCTCCCCGGCCTCCCCTTCTCCCCTGCCCTGGCCTCCACCTTGTCAATAAATACTACATTAAACTATGGCCTCAGTATGGATTGGCTGCTCCCGAAACCCCAGCCCCTTCCCCAGGGGCAGCATGGGGCCGAGCCCCCTACCCCCACCCCTCCCCACAGGGCCGAGGAACACCCCCACGGGGGACAAGGGTGGGAACAGAGTTTCCAGGGCCAACTGCAACAGCCTCTGAGCAGCTCCACGGAAACCAAACCCATCTCCTCTGTCTGAGGCTTAATGGTTCTGACAGGGTTTCACCAGGGGGAGCGGAGAACAAAGAGATGGAGCGAAACGACATTGTTCCAAGCAAGGTCAGGTAGAAGCTTTCCTCCTACAGAGAGGCTCCTAGAATTGCAGGCTTCAGACCCAGCTCTACCTTGCTTGGCTCTGCTCAAGCCAACAGCCTCTTAAATTCCTTCCACATTCACCCCACCAAAGACCATCTTCTGTTGCAAGCCACACGGCTCCATTTTCCAGGTCATCCACACAACAGGCTGAGATCTTCCTGAGGCTCACCCATGCTTCAGAGCAGTTGCTGGGTGGGATGAGGAGGGCCAAGAGGAAGAGGGCAGGCGGGGGGTGGTGGTCATGTTTGCCTTTATTAGGTAACAGATGCTCAGGAGCCCTGGAACGGGGTTGTCAGACAGCAGACACGTTGCCTGGGGAACCTCGCCACCACCTCGTATCACGAAGCATCCCTACTCCCAACTCCATGTGGATAAATAGACTCTCTTCACATAATCCATAGAACAAATCTCCTCCCACCCACAAACAAAAAAAAAAAAGTTACAGTATATACACACACACATATATAAAAAAGTTGTAGGGACAGAGGGGCAGCGAAGTTGGGAACAGTATAGAAAAATCAGGACAAAGAGGCCTGGCCCTGGAGGGGAGAGGAGCACGGGTAGTGCTAGGACCCTCCACAGATCAGGAGGGGACCCACGGGGGTTTCAGCACAGCCAGAACTCCCTGCAGCCCCCTGCCCAGGCCTCGGCCCACCAGCAGGGACAGAGGGAAACCTCAGCATCTCTGTTTCCCAAAAGCCTCGTTTCCTCTTCTACTACAGCACAGAACTTCCCCCGTGTTGGATGCAGGTCTGGGGAAGTGCAAGATAACTCTGAGGTTGCCACAGGTAAGGGGGTTTCTGTGTTTTAGGAAAAACCCGTGACCAGGCAGACAGTGCAAGGGCCACTTAAGAGAAGGAGGAAGATGGGATCCACTCCCCAAAATAGGATCACTGGTAAGCTGGAAAACTTGGGCTGGGCAATCAAAGCCCACCCAGACCCCAGAGCTGTTCTGTGCTTAGGACACCTGCTCAAAGCAGACCTGGCTGCTACCAGAGCATCCCCTACCCTGATCAAAGACAGAGAAGAAGAACCTCTTCCCTAAAAGGATGAGCTCTCCCCTGGCTGCTGACACTGGGAAGCAAGGGACCACCTTGCCTGCCAGCAGGGTGAGAAGCACAGGCTGCTGCAGCCAGGTGCCCACCTGCTATTTCCCCAAATAAAGAAGAAGAGGGAAGGAAGCATCTTCTGTTCTCCATGCCTCTGTTCACAGCTACAGCCCAGGGTCACCAGGAAGGGGCTTTGCAGGGAGACCAATTTCCCCTGGCCCCAGTTTCCATCTTGCTGAAGCTGGGCAGCTCCAGGACTAGCACTGTGTTCAATTCCTACAGAACACAAAACCCATTTCCCAAATGCCAAAAGACCCCATGCAACACAGGACAAGCCCCCAACTTTTCCCCCTCATTCTGGAAGGAGCTCAAGCTCTCGTGCCCCTGGAGATCCAAAGCTGGATAGATGTAGAAGCTTCCTGTAAAACAGCCCAAGTTCTGATTTTGCAGGAGTCGTCAGGGCTGTCCAGGCCTAACGAGGAGAGGATGGGCTTGCGTTGCTGCCCATATCCAAGTGCTTCTAGCTGCCAACAGAGCAGGGAGAAACAGTGATGCTCGCCTGCCAAAGGCTGGTTTCCACAGCTGCACACAGGAGAGGGCAACTGCTCTGCACTTCTTTGGAGAGATGCAACAGGAAAGGCAAGAGAGAAAGAGGGCAAACCGTTCCTTCCCTGTCCCCAGGCCGCCTCCCCCTCCTGGGAAGTCACAGGTGACAACACCTGCAAGTCAAAACTGCTCTGAATAGTGATGGGAACAGAGCAGGGGGACTGGCACCTCAAACCAGTGCCTCCCAGTCCCTGCAGGAACTCAGGAGCTGTTCAGGAGTCGGAGAAGGAACAGAGAAAACACCTCAAGGCAAGTTCTGGGACTGGGAGTTGAGTAAAATGAAACAAAAACCTTTCTAAAAAATTGTTTCTTCATCAGCAAAAAGGCACGAGAGAAGCATTCACCCTTCAGGTGCTGCAGAGCCACCTCTGCTGCCACCCAGCACCAGGTGACAAGGGATGCCCTGGCCTTCTACGAGGCTCTGTTTGTTGTAGGCTGCTCCAAACCCAGCCCCCTGCCAAAAACCAGAGGCAGCCACCTCAGGAAGGAGACGTGACAGTGGACAGGGAGGGAAATCTGCTGCATCATTGCCTATGTTTTCGTAAAGCCACAAACACTCCTATAAAAAACCTGTATAAAAACCGTAGAGAAATTTGCTGGGCAGTACTGGCCCCAAGTGACACTCCCAGAACACCTCTGGGAGTTGGGTTTAGGGGGTCGTTTCCTGACACACAGCTCAAGGAGAGCTGGTGCCTTTGTCCTCTCTCTCTTGGGAAGAGCCCCAGGCCCCAGCAGCCCTGCAGGACAAGGCTCGAGCAGCCGTCCCCAGTTCTGCAGGGGTGTTTGGGAAGGGAAGGAGATGCCCCTGAGGACAGACACAGGATGTGCCACTTGTCTATGCCTCGGGCTTCACAGCAGGGATGGTGGCTCTAGGTCGGGGCAGTTCTTCCCAACAGCCCCAGGCACGGTCACAAACACCACAACT